AAGCGCTACTCTAAAACATAGGCCTCATACATGTACATGCCCAGCTTTTCAAAATCGAAAATCAAACTGAGCACGTCATCCCCAGTTCCCAATGTTTCCGGATACCCCGACCTCTGCGGTCCTGTTGTTCTTTGGCTCGGACGGCGCCGCCAGTGTGTGGTGTCATTCCCTGACGTCATCAGAACCAGCGCTGATGTCGCAGATGTGGGCACTTGTGGCTGAGAATAAAGTTGCTCTCCTACCCCCAGCACCAGGGGAGCAGTTCCAACAACTGACTGTGAGAATAATGAAACGAAATCCTGGCTTCAAGCCCACCAAACAATACAGTGATGAATTCCAGGTAGCCTACACAAGGTCTTTTTGGCTGATATTATTCACTGTTATAACAACCACGTTATTCCTTTCTACATGTATCTTTCTTTCTTTTTTAAAGTTCGTTTTGTTCTTTTGGGTAGCTTTTTGTATGAACGTGTTACAATGTTTGGATGATTTATCCCACTAACCTCCGAGATAGGGCTAACTTATGCATAGACTCTAGCATGCTTTTCTATCGTTCCTTATTTAACAAAACTTTGTCAGTGAATCATCATAGGTGGTGTAATTGCTAGGTTCTTTGGCGTTACACGCGTTTACTTTTACTTACTATACAAGCTATATTCAACAACTAAAAGTCTAACTCCGAACAATAAAAACATTGATTTTTATTCACAGGGGCTTCTCCGCAGCAGTTTGAGACCGACGAAAAAAACATTCGGCGCCCGCACCATAATGTCGTCAGGGAAGACATCGTTCGTCTGCGGCGACTGGAGTTGTGTCCCCGCCTCCCCGTCAGAGCTGACCGTAGTGGTCATCCAGTGGCCAAGTCAGGACAGGAGTAATGGTTATTCCCGCCAATTCGACACTGACCCGGCTTTGAAAAGATACTGGGACTTGACCTGTCTCCTCTTCAGCACTCTTTCTTTCCAAGACATTCCCGTTGGGGACATCTACTCTTTTCTGTGTTAATGATTCGGAACGGAAGGAAAATCTGTTGAGAAAGCTGGACGTGTGAAAGACAAGGGAAGGGGGGGTTCCCCTCTTCTTAAAGCCAGCGCGTCCGTCAAATCTAAGAGAAAAAAAAGACCCCAAATCAGACACTGCGGCGGTTGTGCTTAACTTAAACACCGAATGTCTTTTTAATTGAGCGTACCGTGGAAAATGGTATTTCATATGTCTGAATCGTTTGTTCCAGGAGATTTCTTGATTTAAAAAAAGGATAGCCACCAACATTCTGGAAAGAAAAACGCTATTACTATTATATTATAGCAGGGTGCCATTGTGAGATTCTCTAACAATATGTTAGAGAATGACAGGTAGATCTATTTATTCAAAATGAAACATGAAATTAATAATTACACCAATATGAATTTTTAAATTCTGTAACCAAGCCTACATACTTTTGCTGAAGAGCAATGGTGTGTTAGGTATGAGTTTTGTTTTTAAATTTTCAACCAAAAAAAGTCTTATCTGTCCTTTTAAGTTATTTGTATTAATATAGGACGATAAACAAAAGAATATTAATTGAAAGAAGAGAAAAGATAGGTGGACGGATTTGGGTGTTTGATTTTGTACTTGACAATGATGAGGGCAATAACTATGACAAATGGGCATTGAAGCGGCAATAGAATACATGTAATAATATTATTATGTCCTTCTTTCTACTTTGCGTTAATTCTTGAAACAATAGTGTCCATGCATTTAGGATGCTGGTAATAAATCTCAAGTTGTTGTGTGCTAAGCATTGTCGGTGATACATGTATAACATAATAAAATGGGGAATTCCACATCATATTTTTCAATTGGATTGTGAGACAAGTGTTATAGAAGCTACTCTATGGAGAAAGAGGACACACCCTCCACAACAGTTTTACTTTGGGTTTGATAAGTTAGAAAACTAAACATAATATAAATTCTACGATATCACCATCCTCATACTTCCAACTTAATTAACAATTTAATATTGCGGGGCAATTCCACGCTATCATGAGCACACAAGCCAAAATGAAAATAAAAAGACAGACATACAAGAAATTAAAGCTGAATTGAAAAATAAAACATGTAGACAGAAGCCAATGATAAAAGATGAATGTCAAACAGATTTCTGTTGGTTCTAATGGCTATAAGTGGGGGTGTGGAATTCTCCCACCTTCCCCTACATGTACAGCGTTTTGATGGGTAGTCACCGATATGTCCTTGAGTAAAAACCCATGCTCGAAAACAAGGCTCAGCATACTGGAATCCGGAGATATAATTAATTTTCCATTTTAAAATTGAACTGATATTATGATCATGTGACTTTCTTGTACAGTGACGTATGTACATGTACAATGGCATATTGTATTTGTATGGGTTTTTTTGTACCGATACGGTACTTTTTTGTTGTAACCTGGTCGAATTTTCACACATGGATCAAATCAATGAAAGCGGTTATATTTTAATGTTTGTCTTTTTTAATCTTTGTTTTCGTAGTTAAAGCTCTGTGTGTGTTTGTGTTAATGCGCGTGTGTGTATGTATGTGTGTGTGTGTGTGTGTGTGTGTGTGTGTGTGTGTGTGTGTGTGTGTGTGTGCAAGGGAGAAAGGGGGAAAGAGAGAGAGAGAGATAGAGAGAAAGAGAGGTAGCTTCCCAATTCTCACCTGACACACTGCAAGAGATGGTTCTCCTCAGGATCCTCCTCTTCTCCTTCTCCACTTTCAATTTGTTCAGATGTCTCTTATGACGCCACTTCTTGCACTTAGCCAGCACATAGGCAGCCAGGATACAGACTGCAATAGGATAGATGGATTATAAATATGTGAGGAATCCAGGTAAACAAGACAAATTTCTCCCAGGGAGATGAATAAAGATTGTCATTGTCATTGGCAAATCAGGCGGTCATCAAAAAAAAAATTAAAAAATCGAAGAAACTGACTTTTTTCTGGCTGCAGGGCAAATTTTTCCAAATTTTTTTTTTCCATCAACGCTGTTAATGTCCATTGAAAAAAGCATTCAGTTTTGACTTTACCCCCCAAAAAAGTTAATTTTAGTCACCAAAAAAAGTAAATTTGCAATTTCCAAGGACAGTATTAAGCTTTGGAAGTCACCAAACTTAGGCTGTTATTTTTTCGTAAATTTTACCTCTGTCAACACCTGACCCCAACCTATAGTCGCTAATATCTAAATTTCTATTCAAGATGGATAGGTAGTTTGTTTGTTTTTTTAAATCAAAACCAAGACAAATACACAGGCTTTAAGATTATACCAATAACTTAGTATGCCAAAAAATTGATGAGCACCCCATTCCACCGCGTTGTGACAGATATTTCAGGCCACATCTGCTCAAGTCAGATTATTCAGGAGGCAGGCTGCTTCTACCCTGCCAGTCAAGGCCAACTCAGGCTTAATGGGGAACTCAAGAGAATATTTTATCCCAAAAGAGAATTGAGCTCATGTTGTCTGCATACAATGGCAAAGGGTCTAACTAAAAAACCACAGAGACCAGTTTGAGGAAAGGAAACTGCCTGCAGTTAAAGAATTTTTAAAAAAAAGGTTTTGTTGTTCAAGTTGCTGTGGCTATGGAAATTGAAGTTCTTGAGGTTGTTTTTCATGATGTTGTTGAAGTTGCAGTGGTTGAAGATGTCACCCAAGTTGTTATGATTGTTTTTAGTACCGTGGTCATATGGATTTAAGACCCTAATAGGTGTTGCTAAAGTTGTAATAGTTGCAGATGTCATCATATTTGTAGTTATTGTTTTTAGTACAGTGATCATATGGATTTAAGACCCTAATAGGTGTTGCTAAAGTTGTAATAGTTGCAGATGTCATCATATTTGTAGTTATTGTTTTTAATGCAGTAGTCATATATGAATTTTAGACCTTAATAGATGCAATATAGGCTATTTTAAAGGTAGTAAACTTGGTTATCCAAGGGGCATTTGTGTACGACAAACTCAATCTTCAATTCAAAGCTACAGCACAGCAAAAAGGATGCAAATCATTTCTCATGTGCTGAAACCAGACAAAATCTGTTCTGCTGGAACCCATCTCATGGTCAAAAACCACACATGAAAATCAGTGTCATATCCATGGTGGACCAGAGTGTTTAGACATAATTGTGCAAAGTGATAATTAAAAGATTGCAAAATGGTACAAGTTTAACAACTCTTTTCAACAAGGTTAGATTTTTTTAGATGCAGAACCTCCGAATTTAACATCTATCTCCACAAGCCAAAAAACTCCTCAGAAACACTCAAATTTAGATACCCTGTTGGGGATTCAAACCAAAGCCATCTGCTCCGTAGTGGAGAATGATACCAAATGAGTTAACACAAAAAATTGGTCTCCACTGAAATATATATGAAAAAGACAAAGAAACAAATAAAATTATACTCACACAAAGGAAGCAACCCAAGGCAGGTCCAGATGATGATGTAGGGGATTTCACTCCCTTGGAAGAAGTCGTAACCCTCGTGTGCTGGGCAGGCCTCTAGGTCTGTCTCATTAAACTTCGCCCTCATTCCACATGGGGGGTCTGCTCGTGATCAAAGAGGATAAGTTTAGAAAATATATTACAAAAAAACAAAGTTAGACAAGATAGGGAAAGTAACAAAAGCTTAGGACAGGATATAAAAGGAGGCAGAGTTACACAAAGACAAAGACTAACCCTTTCAATAGACGTGGTTCGGTACCAATTTCGACACTTGCAGAAAATCCAAGCTGTGCTTCGTTTGACAACTCGTATATCTTTAATAGCTTTCAGTAAATAGAAAATTTAAATTTGTTTTCTAGTTATTATTCCAGACAGGAAACAATTCCATGTAGAAATAAAGTTTTGGGAAGCCCTTTTTGCTCAGGAGGATACCATCTATCTGTCAGCCTATTTATCTGTTTGAGTGCGTGTCTGTGCATCTGTATGTCTGCCAGTCTATGTATCTATCGGTCTATGTGTCTGTTAGTCTATTATAATGTCTGCCAGTCTATGTATCTGTCTGACAGTTTGTGTTTTTGTCCTTTTAACTCACCTGGGGCGGCTGTAAAAACATCCTTCTGTATCTGGTCCTTTGTGATATCAGTAACATTCACCAATATGTCAGCAAGGGTAACAGATTTAATAGTGGCTATTTCTTCAGGGCTGTACAAACTGGAAAAAAGTGAAAGTCATATGTTGAGAAAAATAACTTGCAGCCCAATAAAATGTTATAACATTTACAATGACTCTCTCTCTCTCTCTCTCTCCCCCCCTCTATCTCTCTCTCTTTCTCTCTCGTTTTCTTTCATTCTCTCTCGTTTTCTTTCATTCTCTCTTGTTCTCTCTCTCAGAGTGTTCTTCAACCTCAGTCTCTATCTCTCTATTCACTTATTTTCTAAATTCCATCCCTCTTTTATTTTCTTGTTTTCTTATAGTATCTCTATTGATTTTCTTCTTTTTCTTCAAGCCCAGTGTATAATATTAATACAATTATTATGATCAGTTCTTGATAGGGATGATAGGATAGGATGAAACTTTTTTGTCACACAGGGAAATTTTTCTGTGGTCGAAAAGGAATGGTAAAAACATTATAGATATTACCGGAAATTAAGTTATATATGAAGAGTAAAATAAAGCTGACAATAATACAACATGTCATGTAAGATACACCTCTAAAACCACATGCAGGTGTACAAATGCACACTTATTATTATTAGGGTGTAGCTGCATCTCCTCGTCACTCACCCAATCTCCTCATTCTCGAACCAGAACCTGTCGCCATCCCTAATCCTCAGGAACTGGTCATAGAGAATTTGAGTGAAGAGCTCTCCCGGTCCATCAGGTGTGGTCTCCATCATGCCTCCAACAAACATATCTATGAGGCTCAGGTTATGCTTGTGCACACCACTGAATTTGGCCATCAACTGTAGAATAAACAAAAATTGTAATGTTTGACACCTAAATTGACACAACTTACATTACTCAAAAGGAGTGCTACACTTGACCTTGCTTATCAGGGGCCAGAGAGAAAGATAGAAGCAGTTTCTTATTTAGCAGAAAATAAGAAATACTCTATGAAATAGAACTCCCCTGACTAACATAGAACTCAAATGTGTTTGCATGCATCTGCTGAGGGGCAAATAACTACATCACACATGCTGGTGACTGGATTGCAGATTGAATAAATAAACCTACTAAAGATTTGATATACATATATATATCAATCAAGCACTAGTTTTAGAGCAGGAAAGTAGGTTTCATTAACTGGATTAACTGGTCATTTATTTGCACTTATTTCTATAGCAGCATGATGTAAGCTCAGTTGGTTTTATGCTGGACTACACAGCAGATGGCCCTGGTTTAAATCCTCCAAGGAGCAATCTGAACTTGGGTTGTTTTGGGAGGTTTTAAAGGGCTCTCCAATCATCTGGTTCTCTCATATCGGAGATGGGTGTTAAATTTAGAGGTTCCATCTCTTGAAAAAACTTACCTTGTTAAAAGTCGCATTAAACCTATACAGTTTTGCATTTGTTTCAACATATTCAGTCACCGATTGGTTAGCAAAACAAGTATTTATTCACCTCAGGGTTGGTCTTGTTTAGCCATGGGTTGATCTCCTCGAACGACTCTACACGAGGCAGCCCCATCGTCTCCCGGACAGTGTTATAGTCAGGCAGTCCATAGTCTCTGCCCTTCATGATAGTCAGCAACACAAGGTCATGGTTGGAGTGGTACAGAGGGCCATAGAACTTGCCTGTGTAGAAAATTTTCAAATGTTAGCCTATATCATATACAATTGACTAAATTAAACCTCATTAACAAAATTTAGTCTATTTTGAAATCAGGATTCTTTGGCAATGCTTGACAAGGACTTCCTAGCCTGTGAAACATGCTGGGTATATTTCAGCAGAAAGAATGAATCACTCTTAGAAAAATCTTTCCTTTGTGAGAGTTAACTCTCTGGCATTTCACATGTTTTTATGCACTGCAGTCGATCCTGCTACAATGACCACCTGCCTAAGATGATCACTTGTACAACAAACGACCAATTCCAACTTCCCCCCTTCGATTTTTTAAATAGCTTACATTATAATGACACTGTATAAAGCTTGCACCTATTCATGACAACCCTCTTCTCCTTAACAAAGGGTGGCCATCTTGAATAATTTCAACTGTATTTGCAGGAAAGAAGACAAGTGTCAGATGTATTTTACTTTGAGGTTTAATGGTAGAAAAGTGCAGGGAAATATACGAAAAGTGAAATCCAACCAAGAGTGAAAGATATTGAGAGGCAGAGATAGAGTCTCAGAGAGAGATAGAGAACAGAGAGAGGGTGATAGGAAAACAGAGAGAGACAGAGAAAGAGAGAGAGAGAAGGGGAGGAGAGAGAGAAGGGGAGGAGAGAGAGAGAGAGAGAGAGAGGGGGGGGAAAGAGATAGAGAGAGAGAGAGAGAGAGAGAGAGAGAGAGAGAGAGAGAGAGAGAGAGAGAGAGAGAGAGAGGGGGGGGGGTATAAAGAGGGGGGAAGAGAAAGTGAGGTGATATACATGGAAAGAAAATAAGAGGGAGAGTGGAAGGAGAGGGGAAAAGAAGAAATAGAAGCTCAATGATGCCAGAGACATAGAAAGAGAGGAATTAAGATGGAGAAAGATAGGTTGACAGACAGACAGACAAATGTAAAGGGAGAGGGAGAGAGATATACTTTGGAAAGCAAAAAGGACATAAGTTTACTTTAGCATCTCTGACTCACTTCTCAAATCCTCAACGACAAATGTGTCATCTTCCTCAGCCATCTGCACAGCCAAACCTCTCAAGATCTCCACTGCCCCATCCCGATGAGCGTATACCATGTCCTGAAAAGAAAAAAGCCTTTCCTTATTAACATTGCCCAGGCTGACAACTTCCGTTTTGCCTATACAACCCCAAAAATACAGACAATTGAAGACAAAATACGATACAACAAAAATAGCAACAAATTAGACTAAAAAATACTGTCAAAATTGTCCAAGACAGCCACCCATTGATGAGGAGAAGAGTGGTTGTCTTAGAAAGGTGGACGTTTTGAAAAGTGTAATCATAATATATAGAAAGAAACCCCGGGGGAGGGGGGGGGAGTGGGAAGTGGTCATTTGCATAGATGATTGTCTCAGACAGGTGACCGATGAAGCACGACTGTACTTTAATCATATATCAATTGATCAATCAATCTTCAATTTATTTTTGTTTGTTAATTAGAACATTTTATTTGAAAAGATAATCCTACCATTGCCTTCCAGTAGGTATTGCACAAGCGTTGTGCCTTATATTCTTTGTGCTCCCGGGCTTGGCACTTCATGTCCCTGAGGAAGAAAAGAGATCAGATTAAAGCAAATGAAAGAGTTTAATACACACAGTTGTTGAAATTACTCACAAATTACAACATGTATGTAGTCGCAAAAGTAATTATGAAAGAATTTCTGGATTTAAAAAAAAATCAATTAATCAGTAATCAATAAATTATCCCACAAATCTTTGCAGAGAATGCACCCGTATTATTTTCTTAACCAGGCATTACAAAAGCAAATCGAAGATGTTACTATATCACAAATACCATGATATACCATCACCCTTATCATCCTCCTCCTCCTCCTCCCCCCTCCTCTTCTTCCTTCCCCTTTCTCTTCCTTCTCAAACTCCTTTTCCTTCCCCCTCTCCTCCTCTTCTTTCTCAAACTCCTTTTCCTTTCCCTCTCCTCCTTTTCCGCTTCCTTCTCAAAATCCTTTTCACACTCTTCTAATGAAGACACTCACACTTGGTTAATAGCAGATGGTATCAATGTCATAATGTAGTTGATAGCTCCGGCATCAAAGATGTCTGTGACATCACTTTTCACCCATGGCTTGTAACCTGTGGTAAGGGAGCAAAGAAAAATACAGATCAAAACCAGAATAAGTGAAATAATTCATGTCTGAAGCTTTACCCACCTTCACATTCAAAAACACTCTCTACGTTATCCCTTATACAGATAGAAATAAAAATTCATTTACAGAGCTTAAAAAGTAACGTCCCAAGTGATCCTTTCCGACCATCTCTTTCTCTCTATCTCTCTCTCTCACTCTCTCTCGCTCTCTCTCTCTCTCTCT